AGAGGCGACCCCCCCGCGCCGCTCTCACCCGCCCGTGGGTCCGGGGCTCAGCGGGGCGAGGGACCGGCGCGGCACCGAGAGCCTCTCCACAGCAACCACAGCCGCTGCCACTGTCGTAAATTTGTTTTGACGTAAGTGAAACGGTCGCGCTGCCGCCGGCCCCCGGGCAAGCTGCGCCTGCGCGGAGTGAGGCCCCGCCCATCGCCGGGAGACAGACGGGAAATGCGAGCGGGCGGTGGATGATGTCACCCCCTGGGCGGGGCCTGCTCCCTGCTCAGCGCCCTCCCATTGGCGGGGCGGGGGCCCGGCGGGGGTTTGTTTTGGTTGGTTGGGTTTGTTTTTTTTTGAGGTAATTTCCCTCACCGAAGCTGAGGCTCTGCCCGGGCCTGTGTTAACACTTCTGAGGTGTAGCCTGAGGAGCCTCGGTTAAGGTCGGTTGTGGGGGAGCAGGCAGGTGGTGCCCTGTCAGGACTAAAGCTGGCGGGATGCTTCTGTTCTCCGAGCAAGCCTTTGAAAAGCATTCGCCCTTGAAAGTTTTGTGGTTCAGGAATCTCCTGATAAACCAGTGCGGTTGGATGTCTGAAGAGCTCACTGTGACGTTGGTACAAAATAACTTCGCTGAAACTAATTTTGAACTGAAAAGGGGGTTTTGTTAGCGAAATGATCTTTCAGAGCTGCGTAGAGTACAGTTAGCAAAACAACGTTGGCCGTTAATTTTGCCCAGTTGGCTCTGTGTTAAGAAAAATGCAGCGGCTCAGCTTTCTCTAGGTATTGGCTTTAATCGTCCTGTCTTGGCTTTTCTCTATCGAGAAAGGGAGAATCTTCTGCTTCTTTAGTTGTTGTACTGTTACAAATTGCACCAGCATTTAAACATCTATGCCCAATTTCTTTGTTTTCATTAGGGATTAAATTCTGTGTCTGGTAACATGGTTTGTGCTAGTAGGTTAAAAAGGCATTTAGAACCTTTTGAGAAAGTAGTTACATTCCCGTAGTCTAATTTTTATTTTTTTTTTAGAAAATAAACTTTTTTCATTGTCTTACAACAATAGGCATATTCCTTTTTCTAATTGCTGCAGTGACCGTAGTGTATATGAATGATCTAACTGATGCTCTTAAAAGATCAGCAATATGGGGAAATAACAGAAAATGACACATTCTTGTTAGACTATGCTGATATAATCATCTAATTCTTAATGGTAAAGAAGTGTGCTTACATCAGTGAATTTGAAATAATGTTTACAGAACTGACAGTGTTATCAGTGTGATAAGTAGGCTTGAAAACTGGTGCAGGGAGGCACAGATTTGATACTCAAGTGAAGGACTTGGAATCGTAGCAGAAATGCACGCTGTCTTTGTGTCAATTTGAGTACCTAGTGCTGGCAAACTTCGCTGGTGTCGAGGAGGCTAGGTGAAAACACAGAAGGCAAAATCCTGAGATTTTTTCCTGGAACTTAAACAGAAGAGGAGTACAAATAAATCCTTAACGTGAACAGGTGAGGGTGAAGAGGTTCTCTTCTAATTTCTCATCATGTTCTAGCAATGGTGTTTTAGAGAATTACATTTAGAATACCTGAATTTGCTGTAGCAATGGCTACCACGGAGGAAAAAAAAATTACCCCTAGCTCCTTGTTTCCCTGTTTATACATTCTCTATTATATTCAGTTTTTGCAGTGGTGTGTTGGGAATGAGGAAGGGTTTCCCAACTTGACCTTTTGTGCAATGGCAAGCTGTGGTGTCAGGTTTCTAATTCCTATGATCGTGGTGCTGGTCTGCTCTGATTCCCAAACCTTTCACTGAGATAACACGTTCTACCTCCTGTATTTTATGAGTCCTCAGTCTTCAGGGTGAAGTCGCGTCACGCCACGCAGGTGGATGCACTGATCTAATGGCTGCCTGCTCCAGAAAAAACGAAGTTTACGCTTCCTCCCCCACCCTTTTCTGGTGTTCATCAGAACCCTTCCTGAGCCAGGATGTCTCACTAAGCCAGCAAAAAGCCATCCATTGCTCTGATTTGGGTGTTCTTTAAGGCTTTTTTAAAACCGCATTGTTTTTATGCCAGATTATTAATTATAATAGTTCACAGACAGGTCCCAATGAATGCTAGAGCCAGCTTAATACAGGAGGGCAGGGTGATTCAACTCACAGATCGCTAAAATATTTAATAGCCACAACAGCGAACTGATTCTGTAGGTTCTCGCTAAAAGCTTTACGGTTTGCTCACAGTTCCTGACTGATGTCTGGTTCTGAAGCTGTGTTCTGGCTTAGCAAGCTGTTACTCCCCTGACAGGTGCATCAGTCCGTGTTTCATTGCCGGGATGTAGCCACATGGCTACAAAGGTGTCATTCTAAATTTTTTAAAAAGTAAAAATAACTGGATAGCATGAGTAGTCAGGATTGCTTGAGATTCATTGTCTTCCCATTGTCATTCAGTCTGTCCTTTAATTTATTGATAACTTATCCCTTCACCAGCTTTTTTACTGTTTTGCTCAGGAATGGGATGATATTTCAGATAGCAGATGGGTAGCAGAGATGGTAGATCGGTAATCTGATGTCACATGGCTTATTTCACTTGACGTTTTTGAATGCTATGTAGTATTAACACTGCTCGATGTTTCTGGAATTTTTTTGTTAAAAAAAAATTTGTTAAATTTTTGTATCGGGAAACAAGAAATACTTTTTTTTTTTTTTTTTTAAAGGACAGTTAGGTATACTGGGGAGGAAAAAAAAGAATTACGAAACCTTTTCCAGTCATGAGTGAACTTGGAAAATACTTCACGATATTTTCACAATAGAAGCACATCACATCCTTCTTACAAAATACAGAAGAGAAATACTTAATGAATCTTGCTGTGTGGTTCTAGGTCATGAATAGTTATTTTATGTTAAGGTTTAATTTTATATGTTAATAAAATTCTGTATTTTATACAGTAAGAAAATTAATACTCGGTTCTGTTGTTAAAAGTGACGCTCTCTCGGTCATTTAAGGAAAAACAATAGATGTTACCGGGGGAACCTTCTGCACTAGGAGTGACTATATGTGGCATAAGCAAACCAAAAAAAAAAAACCCAGTAGTTTTGTAGTAGTTTTGGAAAAGACAATAAAACGCTGGGGGCAGTAGTGACTTCAATTTGGCGTATCCCTTTAATTAACACACCCCACCACCCCCAATTTCTCGCTATAACCCGGGGAAGCTAGCTGGTGTGCTGAACTAAGGAATGGTATCTGGCCGTCCTTTTGGGACAGCCTAGGCTACTGCGGGCGGCTCTGGGGTGTAGGAGAGGGATGGCCTGCCGTAACGCAGCGTCAGGAGCTCTCGGTATTTCATGCGTAGAACAGTGAGCGTGTGGCAAAGCGCAACAAGCTAACCAACACCCGTCAAACAAAGAAACAGGCACCACAACCGAAAATAAAAGAGGGAGAAGGGGTTTGCTGTAGCGTGGAATACAGCAGTAGCAAGGCCAGGGACAGAAGGTGGGAATGCTGAGGTGTGGACGCCTCCCCTCCTTCGCTAGGCCAAGCCTACCACGGCTTTCTAGGATTTGAGATAACCAAGATTTGAGATAACCACCCGTGCGGGGAGCCGGAGGATCTGCCTCATCGGGGAAGGCTCAAATAAATGCATACTATGCTTGGGCAATAGTTGCTAACCACGGGGTAGTTGCAACTGGGTCTTCGCATAGTGGGATGAGGGTGGAAAAAGGTTCTTTTATTTTCCAAGACGACGTTCTCCGTCACGTACGCTGGGTTACATTCGCTCCCTCCCGGCGAGGAGACGGGTCCGTCGCTCCAGTTGCAGAGGGGCGGCGCAGACAAAGCGCTGGGGATTATTTCCCTGGGGGGCAGTTCTGCAGCGGC